CCAGCCATCTCAGCAGCAAAACCCTTACAACAGCCATCGAGACAGACCCATCATCCCAATTCCCTAATTACTTTAAGATACATCAGAGAGTTTGCAACTCTTTCAACGTTTTTTTCAGCGTACTTTGCACCATGCAGCTGAGCACCATATTCTGTCCAATTACAACACTTACTGACCACAGTCGCACTTCTCCAAGGCACAGACCCATGCAGAATGAGGAACAGGAGGTGACTGTCCTGCAGCCAACGACCTCACTGAGCACAGGCAAAAGAGACACCCAGAGCTACCTAAAAACAAAATGGTTTTCCTCCTTCCTGCAGCTCCACATCCCACGCACCCCAGCTTCACAGCTAGCACAACCAGAGCCCTACAGACAGCATCCTCTGCACCAAGCGTGGATCAGCCGCTCCCAATGACCCACAGAGGTCCCTTCCAACCCCTGCTATTGTGTGATTCTGTGATTCTGTGAAGGGGCCTCAAAACCCAAGACACCACACTTTCACCAACACCTGTACTGCTGGGAAGCACAGAACCACACGAGCCTGACACTTTTCAGAGATTAACTCTAAGTTCAGTGATGCCTGACTTTGCAGCAGTGCAGTTCAGCGGGTCAAATGTAAGCTACAGACTCACCCACGTTCCAGACGGGCTTGGGTTGCACCAAGTTTTGGAGGCAGTCTAAGCTACACTAAACAACAAGCCAGTATGGAACCAGTACGTCCCGGTGCTTTGGGATGTCATCTAAACCTGGGCTGTAAGGGGAAGCAGAGAGCAGATGAAGCCAAGCCATCAGGCAGCAGGAACACACGGTCACCATCTCCTTGGAGTGGGTTGAAAGATGGGTGTGCTCACGGAGCTCACACCGAAGCTGACAAGCACCGCCTTACCGGCCTGGGAGCGGCTGGTTTGTAACTGCTGGAGCCAAAGCAGCACCCACCACCGCGTGAACACGGCTTCGCTGCCGCAGGAGCACGCGGAGCAGTGCGGGATCTCCCCCTTCCCCTCCACAGAGCTTTACCTGCAGCCTCCAGGAGGTCAGCGCAACCCTTGGAGCTTCTGCAGTAGCTGGAAAACCTTTCCCGCATATGTGCCCAGATGTTCTACTAAAATCCAACAGTAATTAATAACAGATCAATCACTTTGTGCTTGGAGGAGATCACTGAGGAACAGGAGACTCATGCTGGCCCATGTAAAAGGTTCTCTTTTTTTTTCCCAGTGTGATACAAGTGGATGGCAGAAAAGCACCACCAGTGCTGCACGGAATTCCCTCCTACCGACGTTCACAGCAGCCCACGCAGGGTTATTACACGGCCTGGCAAAGGGATAAGTCGAAGGGGAGGAAACCACAGCAGGAGCCTCCAGCTCTGGGGCCTGATTAACACCTTCCAGCTCAGAGAGCAGCTGGCAGGGCTGTGAAATGAGCTCAAATCTGAGGAAGGAGGCACCTGGACAGACGAGGCGTGTGGGCAGAGCAGCAAGGAGCCGGCTCACGGGGGCACACGGACACCGCGGGGGAAATCACCGGGACGGAGCATGGGGGGTCAGCGCCGGTCACTGCAGTCAGGGCCGCGGGCGTCTGTCCCGGAGCAGCTCTCACGTCACCTGGGCATAAGTGGCAATACCCTACCAGATGCAAGTTAGAACTGTCCCCGCTGTCCCCCTGCCACGTAACCAGCTGGGGGGAGCAGTGACAGGAGGAGGCTCGGGGCTGCCAGCAGTGTCACTGAGGATAAGCGAAGGTCATTTGTGATGCTGTGATATCAAACTGGTGAGCAAGAGGAGAGCGGGGTCCTGAGACCGGTGAGCACTGGGACATGGCAAAACACCGGGCATCACCACAGAGAAACCAAATAACTGACTCAAGAGATGCGGCTGAACCGGGTCAGACATCTCTGAGGGCTTTGCCATCAGAGGAGGAGAGAAAATCAGGAGGGTCTGAGGTCCGGAGCGACCCTCACGCACGGCTCGCCCACGCTGCAGCTCCCGAGGCAGCGCAGCCCTG